AACTGAAAATGTACAAGTTACTACCAATTATACAGAGATAGAAAGGGTTATGAGAGAGCACTGTGAACAGTTGTAAGTCAACAAATTGGATAACTTAGATGAAATGGGACAAAATCCGAATGAAAAAAACTACCAAGACTGTATCATGAAGAAATAGAACACCCAAAGAGACATCTAAGTAGTAAGGAGATTAAATCGGTAATAAAAACATCTAACAAAGAAAGGCCCTGGAACTGATGGCTTGACTGGTAAATTTTAACAAACGTTTAAAGAAGAACCTATGCCAGTCTTTCCCAATCTTTCCCCCCCAAAGTGAAGAGGATGAAACATTTTCAACTCATTCTGTTAGGCCAGCATTACCCTGATATCAAACCCAGACAAAAGACACTCTGAGAAAAAGAAACTGCAGACCAATCTCTTCTGAACAGTGATGCAAAAATCCTCGACAAAATACAAGCAAACAATTCAGCAGCATATTAAAAGGATTCTATACCATGACCAAGTGGGATTTATTCCTGGGATGCAAAAATGATCTAACATATGAAAATTGATCAATGTGATATGCAACATCAACACAATGTGTGATAAATACCACGTGATCATCTCAATTGATGCAGAAAAAGCATTTGACAAAATTCAACACCCTTTCCTGATAAAAACAACAACCTAGGAATAGAAAGAAACTACCTCAAAATAATAAAAGCTGTATGTGAAGAACCCACAGTGATCATCATACTCAGTGGTGAAAGACTGAAAGCTTGTCCTCTAAGATGAGGAACAAGGCGAGGATGCCTGTTTCCACCACTTCTCTTCAACATAATCCTGGATATTCTAGCCGTAACAATTAGCTAAGAAAAAGAAAAAGCATCCAAATTGGAAAAGAAGTAAAATTATCTCTGTTTGCAGGTGATAAGATCTTATATGTAGAAAATCCTAAAGATTCCACACACACAAAAATGCTGTTAGAACTAATAATGAATTCAGCAATAAAGTAGGATACAAAGTCAACACAAAAACCAGTTGCATTTCTGTACATGAAGAATCTGAAAAGGAAGTTACAAAAGCAGTTTCATTCACAATAGCTTCAAAAAGAGTAAAATATTTAGGAATTAACCAAGGAAGTGAAAAACTGGCACAATGAAAACTACAAAACATTGTGGAATGAAATTAAAGATGGAAATGAAAGGAAACACATCCCATATTCAAGGATTGGAAGACTTAATATTATTAAAATGTCAATTTTACCCCAAAGTTGTCTACAGAGTCAAAGCAATCCTTATCAAAATTCCAATGTTTTTTTTTGCAGATTAAAAAAACCTTTCCTAAAATTCACATGTAATCTCAAGGTACCACAAATAGCCAAAACAATCTTGAAAAAGAACAAAAAACCTGGAGGACCCACACTTTCTGATTTCAAAACTTACTACAAAGCTACAGTAATCAAAACAGTGCAGTATTGGCATATAGACAGACATATGGCATATGGACCAATGGAATAGAGTAGAAAGCCCAGAAATAGACAACAGGGTCAGATGATTTTTGGCAGGGGTGCCAAGGCCATTTAATGGACAAAGGACAGTCTTTTCAATAAATAGTACTGGGAAAACTGGGTATCCACCTGCAAGAGAATGAAGTTGGATCCTTACCTAACACCATATACAAAAATTAATTCATAATGGATCAGTGACCTAAATGTAAGGCCTAAAACAATAAAACCCTTTTTAAAAGGGTTGTTGTTTAAAAGACAACATAGGACAAAAGCTTGTGACATTGGATTTGGCAGTGACTTCTTGGATATGACACCGAAGGCACAGGTAACCAAAGAAAAAATAGACAAATTGGACTTCATGAAAATTTAAAAATTTTGTGCATCAAAAGACGCTGTTCAAAAAGTAAAAAGGCAACCCACAGAATGGGAGAAAATATTTGCCAATCATACATCTCATAAAGGATTAATATTGAGAATATATAGTGAACTCTTAAAACTCAACAACAGAAAAATCCAACAACACGATTCAAAAATGGGCAAAGAACTTGAATAGACATTTCTCCAGAGAAGATATATGAATGGTCAATAAGCACATGAAAAGGTGCTCAGTGTCACTAATCATTAGGGAAATGCAAATTAAAACTGCATTGAGACACCACTCATACACCTTAGGATGGCTGTCATCCATTAAGCAACAAGTGTTGGCAAGGATGTGGAGAAATTGGAACCCTGAGCACCGTTGGTGGGAACATAAAATGGTTTAGCTGCTGTGGAAAACAGTTTGGCGGTTCCTCAAAAAATTAAAAATGGACTTACCATATGATCCAAGATTTCCACTTCTGGGTATACACCTAAAAGAATTGAAAGCAGTATTTCAAAGAGATATTTGTATACTTATGTTTTATAGCAGCATTATTCACAATAGTTAAAACGTAGAAGCAACCCAAGTGTTCATGGGTGAATGGACAGGCAAAATGTGGTATATATACAATGTGATATTATTCAGCTTTTGAAGGAAGGAAATTCTGCAATATGTTACTTCATGGATGAACTTTGAGGAGATTATTGCTTGTGAAATAAGCCAGTGACGAAAAGACAAATACTCTATAATTCCACTTATACAAGGTACTTAGAGCAGTCAAAATCTTAAAGACAGAAAATATAATGGTGGATGCTAGGGGGAGGGGAAAATTGGGAGTTATCGTTTAGTGGGTATAGAGTTTCAGTTTTACAGAATGAAAGAGTTATGGGGATGGATGGTTGTGATAGTTGCACAACAATGTGAAAGTATTTAATACGACTCAGCTGTGCACTTAAAAATGGTTAAGATGGTAAATTTTATGTTAACCGTACTTTACCACAATAAGAAAAATTTTTTTAAATATTGCAAGTTTGTCAGATTATCTGTATTATGTTCCAGTCCGTCTTCATGTTACCACCAAATTATACTTTCTAAAACACTGCTTTGTTTATGTCATTTCTGTGCTCAAAAATTTACATTGGCCTCTGATGTTTGGCCTTAATCTCTTTCTATCCTGACCTCTCATTGTTGCTAAAATCATTCTATAAACTAATTATTTAAGTTACCCCCAACCCTATCTGCGACCTTTTGATTCTCAGTGTACTTGCTCTACCCTCCTTTAATGCTCTTTCCTTCTTTTCCTTCTCCTAATGTGTAAATCTTTTTAAGGACCTACTGAAATTTGAACTCCTCTAGGAAACGTCCCCTAATTGCGCCACTTGTGGTGACTTCTGTTTCTCAGAAAAACCTATGGCATTTATTGTTTAAACAATTCATTGACTAGTTGGCATTGGCTGATATTTGTTGCTGTGCACCTGTCTTATTTCCCGAATATCTCTAAACTTAGTGGGCTCAGAGCTATATCTTATAATTTGTATTACTCAGTTGACTTAATAATATGAGTTGATTTATTGATATTTTGTGAATAATAAGTAAAGATGCTCTTTAAGTACATTCCAGCCCTGTTTGTCAAATTCAGGAGGATCTGGCAATGTTTCTGCAGAAGATACACTTGCTATTCAGATGCGGTACTAGATTTTGTTAAATTTTTCAAGAGCAATTAAATGCGGTATCAGTAAGTCATCTGTTTGTAAGGTGACTTTGTATATATTTCCAGGCAATAAAATAATTTTGAGAAATTTGGAAGCTTAAATTTTTTTTGGCTATAATATTGTATGAGAAATAAGTATTAGTTTTTGGGTACTAATACTTTTTTTTATGTGCTGGGTTAAATAAAGTTAGTATAGAAATGGTTCACTGGCTCAGTGTTGAAATGCTTATAAAGATTTTAAGTCAGGGCCGGCTCCGTGGCTTAGCGGTTAAGTGCGCGCGCTCTGATGCTGGCGGCTCGGGTTCGGATCCCGGGCGCGCCCCGAGGCACCACTTCTCCGTCCAACGTGAGGCCGAGTCCCAC